CGGTTTGTCACTGTTATTTTGGTTCTAGACAATTAAGAGGAATTCTGTTTATTTTTTATTTGTTATTCATTAGGTATGCCACCGCATTATATTTTCACGCAGATTTTGTATTTTTTATAACACGTTAAGTTTAGTATTATTTTATTTAAAACTCAAGTCAAATTTAGCGTTGCAAGTCCTATTGTTGCACTTGTTAACTGAATTTTCCCCATTTTTTATGGTGGTTCACTGTAAATTGAGCGGAGCATGCATGATGGATCATCAACAGAAATGAAGAACAGAGACCAACAAAACAGAAGCAACGACGATGTAAAGATACAGTGAATGCATGTAAGTTTTGTTGGAGCAATGTTTATGCAATAATTTAAATATTTTTACAGTAGATTTCATAAAACTTTGACCACAAATGTTCCGAACTTCGTTCGTTGCGAAGTTCGCAGGTTCGTTTCGAAGTTCAAAAGTTCATAATGAGATTCACAAACCAGTTTGTAAACGACACATTTAATTGGCTTCTTCTACATCAGGTACCAATCAGGGTCTTTGTTTACAAATTGGCTTCTGAATTCCAATATGAACTTACAAACTGAAAAATTCGTGGTTAAAAAATTATTGTTATAGCTTTGTTACACCTGCGCCCCCCCCCCCCCGGTATCCGCCGATGTTACTCAGTTCCTCTTTTATTTCTGTGTGAATGCTACACCCTGACGTTTATGTACTCTTGAAATTTTAGCATTTCTATCTTTAAAAGTATATTAAGTAAATGTTTCTATACCATGTGTAGTGAAATATTCAATCTATTTTGTTACTGATGGGAAATATCGTTTCATTTCAGATGAAGACATACAACCAACAGATCCTACAACATCGCCAAGATGAGAGTAACACAAGTTTTATCAAGGTAAGAGAAAATCAAAAATGATTCCAGCGATTTTTAATCGTTTCTAATTAAAATACAATCTGAAACCCGAGCCTGCAATCCTCCGTGGAGGCTGTCCTCAGGAAGCCTCCACAGAGGATTACAGGTTATGGTTTCGAGATTGATTAAAAAACATTAAAATCCTTGTGGCAAATCATGTCAGCCATAATATGTCACGTGGAGTGACTTTATATCTGATAAAACACATGTGGCATTATATAATTGTTCATCCTAATTAGCATGATTATATAATGGTTCATCCTAATTAGTATTCTTTTGTAGTCGTATTTTAAGCTATTCAAAACACTCGTTGTCGTGTTTTATCAGATATAAAACGCTCGGCGCAGATCTGATAAAACACTCATACTCGTGTTTTAAATAGTACAAAAAAACTATTTCAAAAATTTTTGATAAAATAACTTTCTCTAAAAATGTCTATTTATCCTTCAGGGAAAAGAAATTTTACATCAAATCACATCCTACGAGCTTGTACGGAGAGAAGACAAAGGCGAAGTGAAGATAACTAGATTAACCAACCAACCAACCATGGATCCATCAACAGAACGTCGATGCCTGATCAATAAAACAATTACGAAAATGCAAAAGTGATTTGTATAGATGTAAGTGATGTTATAAAACGTTTGAAATACATGAATGCAGGAATTTCTAGCTTTTTCAATCCTAATAATATAACTAGTCCTTTACACTCGTGAGTTTTTCAAAATCTTCAAATTACACTCGTACTTCAGACTCGTGCAATTTTGATCGTCTTTGAATAACTCACTCGTGCATTTTTTTCAAATTGCATGTACTCGAACCCGTACAAATGCCTATACCAACAACTATAATTCCAAAACGTTGTTTCGATATTTAAGTATCATGCACGATCATTATTTCGCGTTGTTTCAACAGGTAGGAATTTTGTCCGCGCTGGTCAATAATTCTTGGCGCATTCGAAAAGTTCTTTTAAACGTTTTTGAGTTCTTTTCTGGCCGTTTCTGGTGAACAGCAGATTCGCAAAAATATAAATTTATTTTCGCAAAAATGTACTGGACCTTTCTAATTCATTCACTTGTCAAAGTATTTTTGATAGGAAAATTCGCGATTTTCCGTTGGAAACCTTTCTCTCCTTCCCAACGAAGCATTAAATAACAATATTTTTTCAGTACAAAAACTAGGCCAAAAAAACAAATAAAACGCTCAAAAATCAAATGTAATATTTACCCACCCCAAGTCTCCTATCTGTTCACCGCGTTTATTTTGACGCGTGTGCAGACAAAATTCCTACCTTTTTGTTGTTTCAACAAGAAGTAATAGCCGATTGTATAATGGCAAACATGCACAAATTCGTCCTACCTACACCTTGACCTTCTATTTTTAATTTCGGCGCCTTGGGGCCGGGGCAAAGGATTGACAAAAGCATGTGACGTCACACTTACTAAATGCTAGCCCAAAATTGATCAAAACCTGCCGAGTAAAGGGCCTAAGTCTAGGATATCATCGACATTATTAATTATATACATCAATAATATTAAATGATCATTTGAAACATGCATGAAAAACTACGCAATTCAAAATTGTTATTATGGGATAATAAATGCCGTTGAATTGGCGCCGATGCCTAAAATATTAACGGCAATTTTTTGTCTGCGATAATTTGGTAAAATTGTGAGGACTGGATATCTGATAGAAAATCCTAGCAATTTACATAGACATTAAGTCTCTTTTCTACCAAATATCACTCAAGCCTTTAACATGATTCGATCCTATTTCATGGACTCATGGATACTTTTTTAATTTCAAAAGGTGAAGCGATGAAATGTTTATGAATTATGTGATGAAAAGAGATGATGAAAAGACCAAAAAGATCCACTCACGAATGGCATGGAGCCAAGAAAAGAATGACGATTCGCAACAATCGGAAACCACAACATTGCTAATATGAAAGTAGCGAAAATTTTTACCAATCCAAGTTAGTTAAAGACAAAATACTTATCTAAAGATCAAAGGGGATTCAAGTGAATACAATGATTTTCTCATTGTAAATAAGCATATTTTTTTGACTTTGTTTTCCAATTTACGGAGTATAGAAATAATTGTCCTCAAAATCAGGTAAAACGTTTGGGTAAAACATTCTTTCAAAACCGCGATAACGCAGTGTTTTTGCGACGAGCTCTTAGAGTCTGTATGGTAACGTATCATTTCAAAATTTTTATTATAACAACAAAAAGTTTCCAAAATTGATAGTAGAGAACTGTTCGTATAAAAAAGATTGCAACAATACCTTAAAAGCACTAAATCTTGCCTGGAATATTTCCGATTGTAGTATTTTCTGAAAACAAAATATTAATCCGCGTCACCCATAGTAGTTGATGTAAAATAAACATGGCTTGGAATCTAGCACCAAGCAGTTTCCTTTTTTTCATCGTCAGTTGGTGTTGATAATAAAAACGAAATCACTGTCAGATGTGGTCCCTATCTATGTTTATATTCTGTTAACTATGGGATAAGTCTTGTATTCACAATGTAATCAACATACGATGAAAACAAACAACCCTATTTCAAGCGTTAAAAAGTTAAGAATTCGTGGATTTATTTTTCGTGTGTTTAATTAATTCCCATGGGAATATACTATATACTTTGTTTTTATGCCAATTTTTTTTTTATTTTGCGCAAGCGCGTAAAGGTCTTTTGCAATTTTATTTTTTTCCCGTATTTTTAATTCCCAGGGGAATATATATGCTTTGTTTTCATGTTGATGTTGATTTCATAGTGGAAATTTGACTTTATAATGAATGAATCCTCTTTGATTAAATATGATAAGTATCTTGTTTGTGCGCGCTAAAGCGAATTACGGATGGTTTGAGAGCAGCTGCGACGTGCCATGCAAATGATCGTCAAGGCGTTCCGGTTAAATGAGTATGAGAATTGCGGTTAAGTCTGTTTCGATCTGTTTGAACTATATATATAAACATTACTACATGCTCACTAAATTAGCGACATTGTAGTTTTCGTTTCGATTAGTTTCAACTCTTATGGAAAAGTTTTAAAAATAATTCTATGCATTCTCATGCTTATTTAATCGAGCCTTTGGTTTAGGTAAGTTTAAGGTTTGTATTTACTTCGGACCAGTTAACAAAACTCAAGCCCATGCCCTTTCAGTTAAGATTTTACGTTTCGAACCAGAATCCAAAACTCAGTCTAAGTGGGTTATAGGACAGCTAGTGATAACGTAATTTATCTTTTTATTTTGCTTTTTTGTTTATAACGTAATTTATTAGCTAAATGTATGGAGTGCGAGAGTGTGCGCCGTGTGTATAGGATGCATGGGGTTAGGCTAAACTAAAGGAATTAAAATTTTGAGAGCATATTTATTCATTTAAAGAGAAAATATCTTTTCTGAACAAAAGGACTAATTTCCTAACATCGGCAAAATTTAACTAAAATTATAGTCTGCTAGTAAAGCATCTAGAAGGAAAAATCTGGATTTCGAGTATAGAGGCAAGTAAGAAACTCACCTGTTTGTATAAGCGGTCTTTCTTCTGATCGTCAACCTTTAATTTATCTGTTTACATTTGGCCTAAAATATGCGATTAATTGAAATTAATTATGTATACTTTACCAAAATTTTAATTCCTTCAGTTTTAAGGGTGGGCATTTCGGGCTGATGGCAGGTTGGGCAGTTGTGAGTGTCTGTGTGATGGTGAGGAAAGCGGAAGTTACGAATGGAATGCAGGTAGCTTAGGACCAAGGCAGACAGCTTAGGACCGAGGCAGACAGCTTAGGACTGAGGCAGGCAGGCAGTTGGTAGGAATCAGTGGGGGGCACTTGTCATTTCGGCCATGGGATTCAAAATTTGCATGCCGAGTATTTGTTACTAATCTTGTTGTTTTACATTTGCTAGGTATGCGCGTGGCTGCTCTCAAGAGATAATCGACTTAGCATTTGCATATTTAGCATTTGCTAGGTTGGTCTTCTCTTCGCCCCGCTACCCCGGCTGGCTCTCTGAGTGCTACCTCTACTTTAAGTAGAAGTACTTTTACTGCATAGTAGAAGTACTTCTACTTGAAGTAGAGGTAGCACTTGGGGAGCCGGCCGGGGTAGGGGAATTTTTTTTATTTTTTTTTTCAATTCCCATGGGAATTGAATTTTTAATTAAAAAGGAGTCACTTGTATAATTAATGAACAATTTATTGAAAAGAATTGTAATTACAAATTGAATACCAATAAAAAGAGAACAACCACTGCATACTTATTTAAATAATAACAATAGAAGAAAACAGAACATGGCACAAAGAGAACAATTAACATTGTGTTTAACACAAGTGAATAAGCACAAGTGAAAACACAACATTAATAACTTGTTTTCCCGCGAATTAACATTAAAAAGTTAATTCTTGAGGAAATAAGAGAACCTGGTCTTTTCAAGACAAATGTTTATACTTCAAAATAAATATTGTAAAACAACTCTAACGTCGTACTCGGTAACGATAAACTTTACACGAGTTTGACTGAGAAATCAAAAGCGTAACACCAGGTTGTTTTACAAAGAAAATATATGGCTCAAAGACAAAAGTATAAATCGAACATGCTTTTACTTTTTTGAATACGGACAAACTCTTTTTGGTGAAGTGACCAAAATTTTCGCTTGAGTATGGAAAATAATGATTTTATCGCAATGTTTAGATGCTAAGTGAGTCCATTCGTTGTAATGCGAGATCAGTTGTCAAGACATTGTCGTTGACAACAAAATTCCACATTGCTTGAAGCAAATTAAATTCCTCAAAGTGCCTTAACATTTTGACAATGCATTGACAGCATATTTCATTAAATTCAGAAATGATATTTTTAAACATCGAAACATTACGACTAGATCATTGGTTCCATACTCAATTGAACATATATAAGAACATTTCTTTCAAGTGCCAAATCAAGAAATATTTAAAAATTTGAAACTATTCCGCTGTCTTTCGGAGCCATATACCTAGTTTTTAACCTGACAACTTTGAATTGTTTGTATATAATGTTAATACTAATTAAGTGATGAAAATGCAGTTCAACAAATTAAAAGAATGTTATTTCTCCAATTCTGATTGATTTTTCCGAACAAATATTCAGTTTCAATTTGCTTTGCTTAGGAAAATGGTACATTTCTCGTCCTCGATAAATACATTAAAATGATACACATTAATCCATTATCTTAGAAACAAACATCTCCTAAATTTCATTTATGAAAAAAAAGCTCTTCAGAAAATATTTTTGATGCAAAACATGTACAGAAAGACACAAAATATGGTTAAACCAAACTTTCAATTGTTCATAAAATATTTTCTTACTTTTTACACTTTTATTTGTATTGGTCAAAACCAAACGTTTCAATTGGAAAAAAAAGCTTTTGGTTTTGCATAATGAAAAACAGGAAATAAGTTTTGGGTATATTTTGCTAACTCAAGAGTAAACAAACAGTTTTACTAAAAGTCCTCACAAGGAACAAACAGTTTCCACACAATCCTTAGTTTCAGAATATCTCTCAAAAAATAAAATATTATATTGCATTTTCATCAATTCTATAGTATCAACAGTAAACCAAACACAAACATCAAAAGATATATTTAGTAGTAGCAGTTGTCGTTTGAACATATGAAATTTCATTGAAAGGTCACAAAGATTGAATTTTAGTTAATTTTGGACAGCATGCTTGTCAGGTTAAAAACAGACCTTTTTGAAGTATAAACTTACCTTTACATACCGTACTTGTTGAAAAGACCAGTACACATTCGAGTGCCATGTAAACCTGTTTGCTTATATTATTAGTATTATAACACACCATTACAAAGTGGAACTATTTGAAAACAATGCTGAACTGAAGCAAAAGAAATACATGTAACATAGAAAACTAACAAATTAATTTTAATTGCCAAACAATTATTAACCACAACCAGTCAATAAAAATGTTAAAAAATCTTCTCATCTCAGTATCCAAACCAAAGCACAAAATTAATTAATTGAATCTGATTCGAAATAAAATATGAAATTCAAGCTTAAAAATGCCACCCTAAAATAAGTAGGTCAGATTATTTAAATCAAAATAGAATTTTAAAATATAGAACTTTTTATTCAAATTATAAAATTTGGTACATAAAAAGAATCTCAGTCATTGCCTATCTTGTGTGTGATAAAACATACAAATTTTGGTAAATACTAAAAATATGATTGGGTGCTTGAATTTTATCAAATCTTATCAAATTATGTATTGATTAACACCTAGCACAAAGAACTGTCAATCTTATCTTCAGCCTCAATATTCCCAAATTATTGGATTGCTTTACCAAACAATTAATATATACTTTTGAATGGTGATTGTTTTTCCTTCCTTATAATAACACAAAACATATTCCAAAGAACATCATCCTGTAATCTGGTTGTGGTTTTCGTTGCCAAGCATTACAATCAATTTTCTTTCATTTTCTCCATCTGACATCCCCCCCCCCAAAAAAAAATTAAGTATAGTTTGCTGCTTCAGTTCATCCATATTCAAATTAGTTTCACTTTGTAATGAGGTTAAGGCCTTAAGTGTTTGTTTTAAAGTTGGGAAAGTTTCTAAAAATCACAAGGTTTGTTCCGAAATTGAAATTTTGTTGAAAACCACAGTGTGGTTGGTACAAGAATAAAAAAACAACCGAAGAACACAACCCTCCTATAAGTCAGTACTGTATAGAACTGCCTTCTCCCTCAACAAATTCACTCTATTTGTATCCAGGAATAATCAAACTTGTGTATTAAGAGTGTGCTGGGATAAATAATAATTTTAATAATTCAGTTGATCAATAATTGCTTTTTTAAGATTCAATATTTGAAGAGTCGAATAATATCCAGAATCAACATTGAAAGAAACATTGTGATTTTCAGATAAACTTTCCAAACTTTCAACAAACACTGAAAGTCCACTTAAACAAGAGAAGATTGAGATGGAACATAAGTTTACCGCTTTTACAATGCACTTCGATAAGTTCAAAACACAAATTATGATGAGACAAATGTTCATCAATTGGTGTTCTTTTAATCCTTTAATGAAAACATACTCCAAATTAATACCGAAACATAAAAGATGAATATAAGAAAATACTCAATCGTGAATTAAAACTAATAAAGTCACATGTCATATTTGTAAGTAACCACTTTGATTTGTAATAAGAACCACCTCAATCTTCTCAATGTTTAACTGATATAACAAAGCCAACAGTTTGTTATTTTCTGGCTTGCTCATAAATGCTTATATATGATTTGGAAATTATAGACTTTCTGTGATCAGTGGCAACAAAAAACTTAATCAAGTAATCGAGGGACCACGAAAGTGTTATTTTCCGCTGGCTGAGGCACAAAAGAAGCGGAAAATGTTTTCTCACACACTGCTGGGGGCCTGAACTGAAATTTTCGTCAAGTTGAAATAGTGGTGTAATAATAGAATAAAAAGAGTGCAATTATTGTGCACTCACCATATTTAGGTGTAAAGATTGCATTTATTACTTTTGTTGTATTTTGTGTCATAAGTGACATAGTCAAGCTATTTTTACAATAATATGCTGGAATTTTTGAAACTATTGATCACAGGCAATCATATAATGTTCAAAACATTTCATGTAAGATAAGACAGGAAAATATTAGGACCTTTTATATACTTTCCAATGACAGTGTTCATTTTTGTGATCAAAAACACTGCAGCCAACATCTTGAGACATTCTTTGAAATTGCAACACACGTCTAGAAAATTTAAAAAACTCACTATTGAGAACATGAAACAAATTAATATATATTACAAAGAAAATTGTCCAAGAAATAAAGGAGGTTAGAAATAATTAGAAGAAAAATCATTTACCTCTAATTCAGAATCTTGGAATGTGTCCACTTTTCATATTGAATCATGAGTCTTGCAACATTCTTGGAACTTGCACTGTACATCTACACAAAATTATGAGAATTTTACCAAGGGTGTGAATAGCTTGGCTACCAAGATGAAAATCCCAAATATATGAATATCGGAGTCTGAAACAAAACAATATCCTATGGTTCTAGCTGGTTTTCCAGACAACCCTATTCTCTCTGCTCTAATGTTTTTTTCTAGATGTGGGTTGTTTGCTTACCTGCCTACCCTATTTTTTGTTGTTTGCTTTATGATGAACTTAAATAACCTGTGATGTAACAAAAATACTGTCTGTTGCCCACAGTTACTGCTTCTTGAAATGTTTATATGTTGTGGCAATATGCAAACTGATCACAGCAATTGACCATTTGCGTAATAGACTAAATTTTGAACTAAACAAGTCTAGACAAAAATTTCATCACAGCTTGAAGGAGCATCACAAAATTAGTAATATTCCAAAGTTTCGTTGCAAAATGTCGTAAAATGCGGAAAATATAGCCTTGCGAAATTTGCAATTTTCAGTCATTTTAGATTACAAACGGGAAATTGACAGCCCCAAACCCTTTGAGGCTGTCAATTTCCGGTTTGTAATCTAAAATGACTGAAAAGTGCAAATTTCGCAAGGCTATATTTTCCGCATTTTACAACATTTTGGAACGAAACTTTGGAATATTACTAATTTTGTGATGCTCTTTCAAGCTGTGATGAAAGTTTTGTCTAGATCAAAATTTAGTCTATTACGCAAATGGTCAATTGCTGACCCTCAAAAGCCAAAAAATATTTGAAGAAAATTTGTTTTATTCCAATCGAGCCACCAATCCTACTTTTTTCAGGATATGAAACCTGAACCACATATTTTTTGTAATGTTCAAAATTGATCAGAAAAATGCCAACCAATTGAAAACATTAAAATTTGATTGGAATTTTTTTCAACCTCATTTCGACTTTGGGCATCTGCTGTCCCAATAAATTGAGTTACAGGTAAACTATGTGAAGCGTTCCTCTTTTGAGTTTCGAAATTGATTGCAATTTTCCTCATTACTTTTGCAATTTAAAAAACTCCCTTGCAAATCCCTTGAGGGAATTTGCAATGTTGCTAAAAGCCAAAAAAAATTTCCTCAGTTCCTGTTAGAAGTTCTTAACTTCCTGTTACAAGTTCCTAATTTCCTGTTCTGTTCTGGGCGTTGCAATTGGCTAACAAAAATAATCGACAAATAACAACGCTCAGAACAGAACAGGAAGTTAGGAAATTAAAACAGGAAGTTAGGAAAATTTAAAATGAAGTTTGGAATATTGCAACAGCCGATAGGAACATTGCAAATTCCCTCAAGGGATTTGCAAAGAGTTTTTCAAATTTGCAAAGCTAATGAGGAAAATTCCAAATGAGTTACGAAGTCGAAAGAGGAACGCTTCACGTAGTTTACCTGTAATATGCTTTTAAATTTAACAAATACCCGGTACTGTCCCTTTAATTTTTTTAACATTCTCTGAATCCTTGCCAGCCCATGTCCAAAAAAGGATTAACAACTGCTACTGGTGCACATTTTTCAGCCTGGAGTAATGCACATATCAACGGCCTGCCCTGGGGGTACACCCCCGGGACACCCCAGGACTTTGAAAAAACATGATTCTAATGCATTAATTCCCCCTCCCTCCCCCGGGAAATGTGTAAGTCAAACTGCCCTCCCCCCTGGGGCTTAGAATAAAGTAGTTCATATTATAAATAGCATACAAACAATTAAAAATTCAGGGTGTTAGCTAGCCCATATACTGTCCGTCCATTTGACGGACTCTTCCCAATTGAAGTAGTTAAGGGGCTTTCCCAACTGGGTCTACTGGAAGATTTTCATTTTTTCTGATGAGAAAGTGCATTGCATTTGATTTTATATTATTATATCAAAGAACGTTTTATTTACTTTTTCCATTAACTATTTTCTCAAAATGTATCACGTTTCATTCATATTGGGTGTGTATTCACCATAGAGGTATTCACTGAAATGAAATGTACAAAACAAAGTGCCTGCATCGGTGTGCATCCGTGTTCATTCACCGGAAATGAAATAGAAAAAACCAAGCCACTGTTGTTTGCATCTAAGAAGAAACACGTTGGAAAAAACACTATTTATTCCTACACAAGGACTTTGATCGGTCAAAAAAAAATTTCCCAATTTACATTGAACGGACAAAACGTTTTTTTTCTGGCTAACACCCTGAAATTATCATACAAACTGGGGTATCACAATGGCACTCATGTATTCTGTATTTATTTATTCAAATTTTAGCAAGACCACTACAAAATATCATAAATAATAAGTTGGCGATCGATATTTTTCTTCGTGAGCCTGCAATTTTGAGTTTGCACCAATTGTTCACTTCATTTATAAAATTCAAATTGTCATGTCAAAGTCCCCCACTTCCCCTCCCCCTGTCGTCCTATTATTGCGAAGTTTGTAATTTCCCCGGGGTTCACGGGCAGAATACACGGCTAAAATACCAAATTCCCCCTCGTTTCCCCCCGGTTGTCCCGGGGGTGTACCCCCCGGGCAGGCCGTTGATATGTGCATAAATGTGCTTCAAAAGACCTCAAAAGAACAATCTTTTTCCAACCTCGTTCCCAGGGTCTCTCCGTCTGTCATCTGGGAGAGACCCTGGCTGCGGCTGGTCACGTGCCTCCCAGATTCTGGGAGGTAAATTTAATTGTAACTGTGAGAGGGGTGGGAAAGGAGAGTGTTTGTAGCGTTTTAAAATTGCAACTTTGGGTGATGAAATTTACTGTTAAATTTGCAACAAGAAATCGTAATTATAAAGAGAACTCTTGAATTATATATATGTCGTGACGTTCTACTCTATAATCTGGTGTCGAGTTACAATTCAAGCAAGTTGGATCAGATTTCA